TATGTCTGGCTCTCCCTCTTCTTTCATATATGTCCAGTGGAGGGAGACAGCCACTTGTGTGAGTGAAGAGTGTCTGGGGCAGAGGCCCTACTCTGTGTGGGAGAAATAGAATTCAGAGGAGGTCAAGTTATGTTGGAGTTGGTCATCAGGGCCAACGAAGTCAACACTTAGCAGTGTGGGCCCAATCATGCAATAGAGACTGGCTAAAACGTGGGAGCCTGCAGAAGTGGGTGGCAGAGGGAAGCATCTGGCCAGGGATGTGGGTGACATTTACGTGGACGATCTTTGCAGAGATCCCTGGACATTGCAAAGGTATGAGCTTTGGGGCAGGAAGGAAGGCAAGGCAGGAGCAAGGGGTATGGGCTCCTGAGAGACAATTTAGGATTCTATTTGGAGATAAACCTCAGAGCCTTGGGGACAGGTTACTTGTCCATTCATGCTTAGCACATCCATGGTACTTGAGGACCAATGGAAGCCTAGTGCCTGGACACTGTGGCTGGAGCAGGCAGCTCCTGGGTAGGACTGCTTTAGAGCACAGCGTGGGGACTCAGAGATCTGCCCTGTCCCTCCAGCCCCTAACAGACTCACTCTGAGCCTTTGTCTCCTTGGAAACTGCAGGGGACTCTTCTGGCAACATAGTCCAGACCCCAGGCCCAGAGTGGCCCCCTACCCCAGCAGGAACTAGAGATGCCCCTGTGCCAGGTTCCAGCTCCGTGGCCCAGGGCCAGCCCCCGCGACTGAACCTGACAGACGCAGTTGGCATATCCTGTGAGATTGAGATGGTGGTCATCGCCATCCAGAAGCACTTTCTGCAGCAGGAGGCCATACCTGAGGCCTCCCTGTACCTGGGAGAGCCCTCCTGCAACGTGAGCAAGAGCAACAGCACACACGTGTTCCTGGTGGCTGGCTGGGGCGAGTGCGGGACCCTCGTAAAGAGCGTGAGTGCATGTGGCTGTGAGCCACCTGGAGGGACCTCAGTGTGGGGAGGGTTTGCACCTGGTAGGGCAGGCAGGCGGGCCGGCAGGGTCTTCACTCCTGGGCCTCTGACTTCTAAGTGAGAGAACCCAAAAGAGGAAGTCAGCCAGGCCCACATTGTCACAGTCGGTACACTGGAATCCTGAAGGAGATGCAAGCCTCACATTGCAGAATTCTTCTGGTGCAAAGGGCCTGGGGTTGGCTGGAGTCGGGATTTAAAGAGTGCTCTGTACCCAAGCAAGATGGGAGGGGAAGGTAGGAAAAATGAGAAATCCAAGAAGTCATGTGGGAACATGTGTGTGCATGAATGTGCATGTTTATGCATATGTGAATACACCTGTGTACACATGTATGTTCCCTTTCCTCATACATATGTATGAGTATACATATGTGTTAGTCATATTTCTGTCACGGTGAGCTAAGTCAGCTTACGGGAGGGGAAGGTTTGCTTTGGCTGACACTCAGAGCTTTCAGCCCACAGTTGGGTTGGTCGGCTCCATTGCTCTGGGCAGGAGAGCATGACGGAGCAGAGCTGTATACCTCATGGTGGCCGGAAATGGGGTAGAGAGAGGGAGAGAAGAGAGCAAGATAGGAGGAGGGAAAGAGATGAGGGGGAGAGGGGAGAAGGAGGGGGGTGGGAGAAGAGAGAGAAAGAAGAGGGAGGGAGGGAGAGAGGGGGAGTGCACCAGCATGTGCTGAGATCCAAGTGTTCCCTCCAGGGCCCCCCAGGGCCCTAACTTACTCCATCTGGGCTCTGTAGCTGGAGGATTTCTCTCCAGCTCCCGCCAAGTCCTGCCAGTCCCGGAGCCCACTTATAAAATAAACACACAGACTCTTACATTATTTAAACTGCTTGGCCATTGGCTCGGGCCTATCATTGTCTAGCTCTTACTCTTATATTCAGCCCATTTCTATTAATCTATACTTTGCCACGTGGCTCGTGGCTTACTGGTACCTTACATCTTCCTTGTCCTGGCGGCAGCTGTAGACAGTGTGTCCCTCTGCCTTCCTGTTCCCTCAATTCTCTTCTCTGTTAGTCCTGACTATACTTCCTGTCTGGCTACTGGCCAATCAGTGTTTATTTATACAGAGCAATATCCACAGCAGGGCTCCACTTTCTAAAGCATCCCAGTTGCCCACAGATGAGCAGCCACCATGAGGGGCCCAACCCCCCACCCCCTGCAGCTCCTCACAAACTGCTGTGTCCGAAGAGCATCCACTAGGACACCAACAGTGAGACCAGTAGCCGTACCACGTGCTCTCAAGTGTCCTCTGCACGCCAGGCTGTTCCCAGTGTGTCAGCACCTCTTCGCAGGGACAGGATGCAGGGGCCTGCAGACTGAGGGTTAGCGTTGCCTCTGTTTTCAGTCCGGCTAGGTTGGGGGAATGCTGAGAGACAACACGCCATTAATTAGACTTGGTATGACGTGATAAGTAAGATACAGCTTGAGTCAAGGACACAGCTGCGCACATACGATGGCACATACATGGTCGGTAGGCTGACCTCCTTTTGGTAAGTAGGATGGGTTCTTGAGGTAGGAACCCATGCCTGACATGAAAATCTCTGGGTGACATCGGGGACACTTGTCAGGATCGTCACTCTTCTGGGGATTACCCTCCAGTACCTGGAATATAGCTGCAGTTGGGGCTGGGGCACACTGAGGCTCAGGAGATCACTTACACCCCATCTGTTTATGCATAGAACATGACCAGCACAGTGGTGACCACCACACTGAAGAATGACCTGTCCCCGGAGGGCGTCATCCACCACCTGCAGATCCTCAGTCCCATCCACTGCGCCTTCCGCAATGACCTTCTGACTTCCTCAGGCTACACCCCGCAGTGGGGGTGAGTGGGAGGCTGCCTCACCTCCACACAGCTTGGGCTCCTTCTAACACCTTTGCTTGAAGGCTCTCTAGGGTGTCCATCCTTCGAGGGCTTTCTTGAGTCTGTCCACACAAGTGGACGGGACTTGTGCTAACTGCCAGCTTCCCCCATTTCTGCCCCACTCCTTCATAGGATTAACTAGAGAAGGCCAAATACCTTCCCTGTGGCCCATCAGCTAGGAGGAAGAGCCTCTAGAGAGCCGCCTCCAGCTCCTCAGACCACAGCCTCCGCCATGGCCACCCTCTCTCCAGGGCAAACGCCCACACAGAGAGGAGTCAGGCTTTTTGCTTGCAGCCAGCTCTGCGTGCATCACCTCTCTTCACCTGGGCTCCTCCTTGGCTTCTGAGCCCCCCCAGAACCCCTTTTTGTGGGGGAGGAACTAGAAGAAAGGACTGCATAAAGCAAGCTTCACCTAGCCTCTCCCCCACAGGGTCTACACCATCTTCGAAGACCTCCACGGCACCGGAAGCTTCATCACTGAAATGCAGCTGTTCATCGGGGATTCTCCCATACCTCAGAATTATAGCGTGTCCGCCAGTGATGAGATCAAAATCGAAGTGGGGCTCCACGGGCAGAAGAGCAGCCTTAGGGTGGTGCTGACCGAGTGCTGGGCCACCCCGTCCAGCAACGCCAGGGACCCCATCACCTTCGGCTTCATCAACAACAGGTAGAGAGAGGCCACATCGCCTCGCCCAGCCCCGCTGCCTACTTAGAACCGCTTGGAATTTCCAGGCAAATGCTGATGTGGTCTGGGTTTGGGGCGAGATGAGCTCCTGAGACTTCCATGGAGGTTGTGGGATACCCGTGAGGGGCAGATGTTCACAAGAATCATGCCTGGGGAGCAGCTGACTTAAGGAGCCACATTTCCCTCCCTCAGCTGCCCTGTTCCCAACACCTACACCAGTGTGATCCAGAACGGCAACTCCAGCAAGGCCCAGTTCAAGCTGAGAATCTTCTCCTTCGTCAACAATTCCATCGTCTACCTGCACTGCAAGCTGCGAGTGTGCATGGAGAACTCCAGGAACACGTGCAGGATAGTAAGCGTGGCTCCTTCTCTGCTTCCGGGGGCCAGGGGTGGGGGTGCACTTTCCTGCTTGGTAGAGGTGTTGCTTACCCATGAGGACATGGGGGACAGTGCTCAGAAGCATGCAGCTTGGCGGGAGAGCGCAGGACAGGGAGTAGCACATGTGGGTTGTGTTGATTCAGGCTAAACATGTTCTTCCTGAGGGTTTATTGTTAATTGTTTGGTTAGAACTGAGTTTCATTGTGACATTTTCATATGTATATATAGTTATACTTTGTTCTTATTTACCCCCATCTCACCTTCCTCCTGCCATGGTCCAGCTTTCTGCTTGCATCACACATACACACATACTACACATACACCACACACACACACACACACACACACACACACAACACATATATACACACACACATACATGCATTCATATACACATACACACATTCCACACACACACACATATACCACACACACATATATACATATACCTATATACACACAGACATGCACACATACACATACCACACACACACATATATATACACATACATGCATACATATACACATACATACATACCACATATACACACATACACCCCACATACATATATACATATACCTATATACACACAAACATGTGCATATACACATACCATACAACACACTCAGACATACCACACATATACATATACATACACATATACATAGACATACAACACACACATACACACATTTTTACATATACACACCTACATACATATTTACATACACCACACACTCACATATGTACATACACAACAGATATGCACACACACATACACCACATTCACCATTACCCTCTCTTGTCCCCTTCTTCTTCCCTTCAGGCCTCTTGGGGCTACACCTGAGTTTTCTGGTTTGCTTTCTATTGCTGTGATACAATCCATGACCTACAGCCACTTGGGGAAGAAAAGATTTATTTTAGCTTATAGGTTAAAGCCTATCATCAAGAGAAGCCAAGTCAGGAGCTTGAAACAAGAAGGATGGCGAAGCCAGGCTGTGGTGGCACACGCCTTTAATCCCAGCATTCGGGAGGCAGAGGCAGGCGGATCTCTGTGAGTTCGAGGCCAGCCTGGTCTACAGAGCAAGATGCAGGACAGGCTCCAAAGCTACACAGAGAAACCCTGCCTCGGGGAAACAAAAAAGAAGGGTGGTGGATGCTCCTTGCCGGCCAGCTCCCCCTGGCTGGCTCAGACCTAGGAACTGCACCGCCCACAGTGGGCCGGGTCTTCCTACGTCCAATCGCAATGAAGAAACTGTCCCACAGATGTGCCCCCAGGCCAATCCAATCAAGGCAAGCTTCAGTTGAGGGTCTCTCTCCCTGGGTGTTGACAACAAAACTAACCAATCATGTTACCCACCCCACCCCCAATCAGCTGTGCGCACTCCCCTTTTCCTGAGGTGTAAAACATCACATTAATGCCGTATTAGCCCTGTGAATAGAACATCACCAGCTGTCAACATCTCCAGCAGCTGCTTCTTTCCTTGTGCTCAGCATTGACACAGAGCTTATCAGTAATTTGCATTGTCGTTTACCCAGACTATGTGTGTTCCTCCTTTGGGAGACATGCTCAATACTGTACCCATCTCTGAGGGTGACAGAGACGCTGGAATTTTTCCAAGTGACAAGCCTTTGGCCATTAGCAGGGTGTGGATAAGAGACACAGTGAGTCATTCCACTTTCTCACATAGTAGGTCTTCCTGCGGGCACAGTTGACTCCCCATGACACACACTGAGGGGCATGCCCCAGTATACACCTGGAGTCATAGGGTTCCCAGAAACAGGGCTAGCAGTTCTAGCAACGTTCTCTCTGCAGGGGCTGCTGCTTCTCAGGTCTTTGCAGCCTGATCCCCACCCCCACCCCGCGAGTTCCTTTATCGTGGGCTTTCCATTAGTTCCCAAGGCTGCCAGACAAGGTATGACTGAGCCATTAAAATGATAGAAACACGCTGCTGAGTGATTCGGGAACCCATGGTGTTGGCAGGCTGGGTTCCGAGTGGTGCGGGAGACTCTGCCGTGGCCTTGCCCGACTAAGAAGAGTGGCCTCGCCCTTTCCTGACTTACAGAAGTTCTTTCCCTCAAGTCCATCCGTGTGTCCACATCCCTCTTCATTTTAGACCTCACCTCCAGGGTTAGAGTTCATCTCAACCCGATCATTTTTCCAAACAAGGTCAACTGGCTAGTTTTGTGTAAACTTGACACCAGCTAGTAATTTGAGAGGAGGGAGCCTCAGTTGAGAAAATGCCTTTCTGGGATCAGGTTATGGACAAGCTGGTAGGCCCAGCCCATTGTGGGAGGTGCCATCCCTGGGCTGATGGTCCCGGGTTCTATAAGAAAACAGGCTGAGCAAGCCAAGGGGAGCAAGCCAGTAAGCAGCACCCCTCCATGGCTTCTGCATCAGCTCCTGCCTCCAGGTTCCTGCCCTGTGTGAGTTCTTGCTTTGGCCTCCCTCAGTGGATTGTGACTCTGGACATGTAAGCCAAACACACTCTTTCTTCCCCAAGTTGCTTTTGGTCATGGCATTTCATCACAGCAATAGAAACCCTTACTAAGACAATCGGAGTTAGAAGGCGGGGGTCGGGATGCCAACATTTTTTTGGAAGACCATGGTGGATATTGGGTATATAGGGAGCAAATTGCACCATACCATTGAGCCACACAGTGATTTTGAAAGGCAAAGGTATCCGGGGGAGTGAAGGTCTGGTCGAACCTTTGGAGGATACAAAAGGTTGTGTCTGGGTTGAGTGTTTGAGGCATGGTCCTAGGGAGGGATGTTCCCTCCATCTTCCCCTATGCGGACCCCAGCGTACCCCACTCCATGCCTCTTCTGCTTTGGGCGGTGCTTTGGTTTGTTTTTGTCAACTTGACAAAGACTAGAGTTACTTAGAAGAGGAAAATGCCTCCATCAGATTGCTTGTATGCAACTCTGTAGGGCTTTTGCTTGATTAGTGATTGATGCGGGAGGGCCCAGCCCACCGGGGCCAGTGGTCTGGATTGTATAAGAAAGCAGGCCAGCAAGCCGTGGGAGCAAGCCAATAGGGAGCTTTCCTTCATGGCCTCTCTTCAGCTCCTGCCTTCTTCTTGATTTCCCTCAATAGACTGTGACTCATGTATGTAAAGCAAATAAATCCTCCACAAGCTGCTTTTGCCTGTGGCATTTCGTCACAGCAATAGAAACCCTAACTAAGGCAGGTAATGTCCCACCAGAGTCCACTGCTAGGGCTACCCTGCTCCCACACCCCCGTCTAGATTTACCCATCCAATTGCTCAATAACGCTGTTCTAGAGGACTAGATAGTCAGGGTCAGAAGAGGAACACCCTAGACAGTGAGTTTATGCCCTGTAAGCACCACAGGACAACTGTGAAGTTTCTCTTGTCAAAAACAGAGCTGCAACGACTTCCGGTTGCTGAGAAGCAGTGAAGACGAGCACCAGATGTCCTGGGGGCCCCTCCATCGGTCTGCAGGTGAGTCCTCTGGGTTTCAAAGGCAAAAAAACGATCCCATCTGCAAAGTGCCAGTGTGAAAAGCGCTTGTTTGAAATATGGGGCTTTAGAGATTTTTCTAAAGGACTCACAACAGTGGCTAAAATCTTCCTCAAGAGTCTTGGGTGCTTTCGTGGGTTAAGATTGTCACATATTGGATAGGATTTGTTCCTCTTGGCCACCCTGAGCAGTGGAATCTAATTCTGTGGTCATGCTGTGGGGAAGAGTCCCAGCTTCCAGGGGTCCAGAGCACTGAGTTTATGGGCTCCTATGACCTGAGTTCTAGAAAGCCAAGAAGGTCTTTGACCCTGAGTAAATGTCAAGTGGATACGAAGAAGAACCCATTCTGTAAATAGACAGCCACAGTGTGTGTGTGTGTGTGTGTGTGTGTGTGTGTGTGTGTGTGTGTGTGTGTATACGTGTGTCTCTGTGTGTGTGTGAGACACAGAGAGAGAGGGCATGTGTATACATGTGTGCACACATGTATAATTGCACAACCACATGAAAAAGCTGTTTAATTCAGAAGATAAACAAAAAGCACACTTCATTCCCTCCTGAGTATAAATGCCTACCAGGTGATTATATTCATGTATTTTCAGAATCAACTTTCCAAACATGTTTCTCCCCCCATATGATCTAATTATTTGAAAAAATAGAGAATCTGCATGCTTTGGGTACTAAGACAGAAGTTTCTAGATGTCTCCACTTCTGTCTCTTCTCTATAGTAAGAATTTTCAGGTTTACTGGAGTAAAAACCATAGCTCCCAACCTCCTTGGCAGCTGAGTGTGACTGAGGAGGTAAGCTCTGGCCAGTGAGAGGGGGAAGAAAGCCCTGACAACTCAAGGGAACACTCCTCAAGGGCCACCCAGTGCCATCCCTGGCCACTTTCCTCTTCCTTGTCTTCTTCGACATCTCATCTTTGTGCCAGATTGAGATCCAAGCTTTTCCCGTTGCTCAGCCTAGTCCTGGCTGCTTTTCTTTTTGTTAGTTTTCCCTCCTAACCTGGATGGTCTTGTGCCTCTCTGTATTTTCCTGCATAACAGCTCCTGGGATTCAGGCTCAGGGTGGGAGCTGAGATGCAGGCTCAGGGTAGAAGCTGGGTTCCAGGTAAGAGGACAAGGGAATCAGCAGGCAGGGTCTGGCTGGAGTTTCTCAACTGTTGCTTTTCATCCAAGCATTGTGAGAATAAAGCCTTAGGCACAGTTGCCAAGGCACACCCCTAGTTCACTAACTCAGGTGGTTCTAGACCCAGGTGGGGGTTCACAAATGATTGATGATCTGTGTTCTGAGACCTAGGTGCAGGGGGGTCCTCAGGTAACTGCTTGTCTAGATTCTACAGCTGCATGCATTTTCTCCACTCATTATCCTCTTAAATTGCTGTAGATAACGGGTCAACCTGGGGCTCCAAGAGGAAAGAGCATAAGTATATCACATGTTCTCATTAATAGAAATGGAACCTCTCCATTCATTCATAGATGTCAGGGAAATGTCAATAGAGTGTGAGAGGTACTGTACTTGGAGTTAGTAGACCAGAGTTTGATCAGAGCTGATGTATGAGCTGTGTGGTATTTGCAATATTATTGACTCTGTCCATCACCAACTATCCATCCGTGCACCCTCTGTTCATCATCTATCTTCCATTGATCCATCCAGCCTTCATCCATTTATCATTCATCTATGTATCCATCTATATGCCTTCCATGAATGCATTTAATCTTCACTAATCCATCTATCCACGCATTCATCTATCCATCTACCCATTAATTATCTATTCATCAGTATATCTACTGCCTGTTCACCATACATGTATACAGATAGACAGATAGACAGACAGACAGACATCCCTCTCTTCCTCCATCCACTATGTGTCAGGAATGCTGGTTTTCCTTTGTAAGGCTGTAGCTACAGCAAATTTCCATGCCTACCCCCCAGGGTTGTATTGGGTGTGAAATACAGGTCCTTTGACAGTCCCTAATTGGTGAGGCTCCCTAAATTTAAAATTGGGCTGATGATAATACTTTTGGGATGTTGGGCACACCACCTCTCATTCCTCATTCTCCCCTTGTGAAATGGTGACATTATTTCCTACTTCAGACAGAGTATGGCCTACGGTCACTTCTGGGTAAAAGTTGGTTGTTGCCATTTGCACCAAACAGAGATCTACACTAGGCCAGTACAGAGAGCTTTGCACAAGGGTGTGACTGATCTGTCACCAAAGCTCAATGGTCCTCCTGCTCACCACACTTTCTTGTTGTCTTGTTTCTATTTCCACAATATTCTCAAACAAATGGGCATCAAAATCACTCTCAACACATGGCACCTGCAATTGGTATGGGCTGCTCTGTTGCAGGGGTGGTGTTAGCTGAAGTGCTGTGGGAACCTGCAGGGACAGGTCAGCAGACATGTTCCTTCAGGCTCTGGCCTCTATCCCCGCTGTTACCATCACTTCCCCTTCAGGGAAGCATGAAATTCGCCTTACGATCTGGGAGATTGTATGTGTTCACATGGCTGGAGCTGAACGGTGGTGGACAGGGCCTCAGAGGCAGAGCCAGGCTCTCATAATCCTCTGCTTGTCTTTGTCAAAGGGTCAGGGCCACGTCTGTGGAAAGGGCTCCTCCAACACCAATACCACCACTCCAGCCCACATGCGCATAAGTAGCCTGAGCTGTGATGACAGAACACCGTGGACTGGGTGACTTAGGACCACAGAATTGTAGTCCCTCACAGTTCCAAGAGACGGAAGTCTGAGATGGGGGTGTGGGCAGGACCTACTCCTCTGAGACCTGCAGCCAAGCATCCTGCCAGCCTCTTCCAGGTCCCGCGGGCTGTGGCCCATTTTGGGGTTCTCCAGATTGCTATATGTAGCCCAGCTACATCTCACTGCAGCCATCTTATAAGAACACTAGTCCCACTGTGTGAGGGGCCCAACCCCTCCAGTGTGGCCTCATCACTCTTACCCCTACAGTGGCCCTGTTTCCATATGAGTCCTGCAGCTCTTGGATTTGGGCTTGGATGTGTCTTTTCCTGGGACAAACTTGCACACATATTTTCACATGTTGTTGATGATGATAGGGAAACTCAGTCTTCCTTCATCCTGAATACGTGCTGCCTGTTTTTAACCCTGTTTGGGAATCTCCTGTGGCTACTGCCTCACTAGTCAACTATTCAACCTGCTTACTTTGTGTTGCTGAGCAAAGATGTGGGTAGTGTGAGATGACTGGGGGATGTGCAAATGTCCAGGACGGTTACTGAGGCTGCTGTGTACTTCTAGAGTATATGAGCTGGGATTCTAAGTACCAGGAGGCCTTGCTTCTGTTGTGTGTGGGTCATATGTGTGCT